TTAATTCTGAATTTCAGATGTAATGTTCAAACGCTCCTTTGTATTTTAAGTCTTGGATATTTAGGAAAGATAACTCTAGCATGCAAATGGACTTTTTATTCCAAAATAATTTTAAATTGAAATTTTAAATTCGTTTAAACATTCGACATTCAATTTGCCACATGCAGCTCATTTAAATACATTCTTTGTCTCTTTAGAACTCATTTTCCAAATTTTTAAGGCACAGATTCTTATAAAAATGGTATTCATCGTTTTGTTTTTTTCTCTAATAAAAATAATATCAGATATTTCATGTATGAAATATTTTCTTTCTGTGTCCATGTCTCAAGATTTCCATTAATAATGGAAATGAGAAATAATGGTGATGGGCAGGCCTATTGTAGGGTCACTATTTCTCCATTATGATATTTTATATAAAAAAAAAAATAATGCGTGTATGATAGAAAAAATATCTGTACCTTCATTAATGAAATAGAATCGTAAATCTTTAATGTTGTGAATAACATTCGAACCACTCCTGAGAAAGTCCAAGTAATACGTCTTTCCAGTCCAAGAAGAGGTAAAATTAATGCAGCTCGGCTGTGCGGTAGATCCATCAAACAAATGATGAGAAGGTAAATAGTATGTATCTGGATCCTGGTAATACGTCAAAGATCGTCCTTGTAAAGCGACATTTTCGTTATCTAAAAAATAATAGTGGTTATGATATTTTTAAAAACGTTTCTAGTTTTTTTTTCTTTTGATCTGAACTAGTTTCACTTATTTCTGGGATAAACAATATTATTAATAATTATAGTTCAATGGGAACAAAAATAAAAACAAGAGGCCCACGGATCTCATAGGTCATATACATGTAGTTTCATGTAACAACTTTCCAACTACTGAATTTGATTCGTATTTAAAACCAGAGGCTATGAAATTCACAATTTGCTTATATAACTATAAACTTAGTAATACTATACATTCTTACTTTGGTTACGTAATACTAGCGGTAGATCAGAATAACAAAGAGAAAATGCATTTCCCCTTTATTACCAGTTTTGCAACCCATCCCACAGGAACAACTGAACCTGGGGCCACATATTTCAAATTTTTGGAAATTTTATCATATCTTTTTTTATTAATTGTTTATTATCACCAATATGTAGATTTCAAAGCATTATTTTATATTCTCAGACTATGTACCCCCCTCCAAGTACCCCTGACCCATGGGCCCGGATATCAACCATTTTGTAAGATGCATTTTCATTAGAGCCCCGCCCTATCTCAAGAAGCCCTGACCCAGGGAAATTCAAAAAAAAAAAAAAAAATTAAAGAGACACATTTCCTTATCATAACTTCGTTCATACATGTAGTTCATTTTTTTTAATAACAACGCACATAAAAGAAGATTTTTAAAGAATTTATGCATTTTCACTCTGGAATCAATAGAGCCCAACCCTAAAACCAGAACCACTAACCCAGGGGGTATGAAATTCGAAAGTTTGGATGAGGCTTCCTTATTCAACATAAACATGTACTTGGCTAGTTTATTTCATACCCTGGAGCAAAGAAGAAGATTTTAAAAAAAAAAGAGGAAAAAAATCATTTTCACTATATAATCTATATGGCCCCGCCTTAGCACTAGAACCCATGAACCTGGGGCCATGAAATTAACAATTTGGAAGAGGCAACCTTATACAACATAACCATGTACTTTATTTACATGTGTAATACCCAGTAGCATAGAAGAATATTTTCAAAGAAATATATCATTTTCACTATATAATCTATATAGCCCCGACCTAGCACTAGAACCCCTGACCCTGGGGCCATGAAATTCACAATTTTGGAAAAGGCAGTCTTATTCAACTTAACTATGCACTTGGTTAGATTGTATAATGCACAGAAGCAGGAAAGAAGATCTTCAAAGAAATATATCACTTTCAATATATAATCTATTTAGCCCAGCCCTAGCACTGGAACCCCTCATCCTGGGGCTATGAATTTCACAATTTTGGACTCAATGCTGATTACAATTATTCCAAAAGTTGGACTGCTTGATGTTCTGGAGTAAAGAAGAATATTTTTAAAGATTGCACTAATTTTAGTGGGTTTGCCCGATCCCCAGAGGAGCATCATTTTTTAAAAGATATAAACAACAATATTAAAACGTTTTCTAAGAAATGAACTAAGGTGGTCACGTAATCAATTCTGTGAAGCCCGATGGGCTTTTCGGTAGATTTGATAATGTACCAACTAAATACACTACCCAGAGACTTTTTAACATTGTTGTTTTTCACTTATATTTACATTTGAGACGAATTAATTAAGAGTAAAACTGTATTTTTGTCATAAAGGGGCCATCGTGTTGTTATGTTGTGACGCGCAATGACCTAGAAGTTGTTTGTTCTTAAAAAATCGCCTCGCTCCAACATTTGAATATTTACAATTTTTAGGTCACCTGAGTTTATTGCTATCCGTTTTCGTCCGTCGTCGTGCGTCGTCCGTCGTGCGTAAACATTTGGGCATTTTCAGCTTCTTCTCTGCAACCATTGTACCAATTACCACCAAATTTGGCACAAAGCATCTATGGGTGAAGGGGAACAAAAATTGTGAATTTCATGATCCCTGCCCCTCAGGGGCCTGAGGGGTGGGCCAAAACCACTACAATTAATTCATGGCCCTGGGGTCAGGGGTTCTAGTGCTAGGGCGGGGCTAAAAAGTCTATAGTTAAAATACATGAATTCTTTTAAAATCTTCTTATCTGCTCCTGGGTATTAAATAAACCAACTAAGTACATAGTTATGATGAGCAAGAGTGCCTCTACCAAAATTGTGAATTTTATGGCCCAAGGGTTAGGGGTTCTGGTGTTAGGGTGGGGCTCTATTGATTATATAGTGAAAATACAAGAATTCTTTGAAAATCTTGTTCTCTCCTCCTAGTTATTAAATAAACAAACTTAGTGTATAGTTGTGATGAGCAAGAGTGCCTCCACCAAAATTATGAATTTTATGGCCCCAGGGTAAGGGGTTCTGGTGTTAGGGCGGGGCTCTATTGATTATATAGTGAAAATACATTAAATCTTAGAAAATTTTCTTCTCTGTCTCTGGGTATGAAGCAGATGAACTACCTATATAGTTATGATGAGTAAGGGCCCTAATCTTGCAGAATTGTGAATTTCAAGGCTTCGGGGTCAGGGGTACCATAGAAGGGGGGGGGGGGGCTGCACTTATTTACTGAAAATGATTGAATTGTTTGAGATCTGCTCCTTGGTATTAATCAAATATTTTTGAAAATCAAGGATGCCTTTTCAAAAATTGTGCAGTGTGTGGATCTAGGCCTAAGGGTCAGGGGTTCATGTGTGGTATGGGCACTACTGATTATTGCTGAGTATTACTGATTAGTTGAAATGCATTTTTTGTTCCCATTACCCTGCCTATGGGTATTAAGCAACCAAGCTAAGTAACTGCTAAGTGTATTCTTATGATGATCCATGGTGCCTCTTTCAAAATTGTGAATGCCATATAGCATCTGGCTTAAAACATGAATCAAATTCAATAACTGGAAAGTTGTTGCATAATGCTCAGGTGACCTATAAGGCCCATGGGCCCCTTGTTTTTGTTTATAATGTAAGAACAATGATCCATACTGAGAATAATCTTACTGTTTTATGGTTTCTTAGTATATTTGAAGTCAAAAGCGGTGATATCTTCTGTTTTAGTTTACAAAATGTCAAAGGAATTTCGGGTTAAAAAGTTAGATGCGAATTTAGGCTATTTAAAGGAATTCAAACATTCTTTATACCAAATGAAGATCTATTTAACGTCTGTTGAATAAAAAATATCTACAAGTATATGTTTTAGCTAATTTTTTCATCGCTTTTAACCAGACAGAATATATATGAAAACAAGATATCATCTCGCCGTGTGTTTCTGTCGCGCTATGACCTACATGTATGACCCACCCACCCCAAATAAGTTCATACAGAATTGAACTTATTTTCACTTTAATTGGTTCATCTAAGAAAAAATATCTGCAAATGAAGCAAATAAAAATGTTTCTGTTTTGAGCATTTTGCCCTCAGGTTTTGACAAAATAACAGAATTTTATAAGATTAGAAAGGTGGTGAAATTGCGGCATTTTTCTAGTATATAGATCATCTACATGTAGCGACAAAACTAAGCTGATTTGAAAACATATAGAGGCAATATTGACAATGCATATTTACATAAAACGATAGCACGACTTGACAGGGTAAATTCCCCTTCAAAGACAATCATTGATGCTGTATTAATGACTTGAAACATACATCTTACAGATAGCAAAAATGTAATATCCTCTCCAATTCTGGCCGTGGTTGAATGAGAAGAGGATTTTTTGTAGCTCATTAAAATGTTGACCAATGCGAGGAATACGAACTATTTCGTGTAATGTATACTTTTGAAGTCAATTGTTTTTGTGATCAGACAGCCACGGGTAGGAGAGGGCTAAATGGAGACTCCGTGGCATGAAACGATTGTGTCTTTACGCCGGACTAAATTTAAGCCAAAAAAATACGTCTAGTCATGGGTAGGCGTAAGTTCGGGCCTTAACATTTGATAATTTGAAAATGCGATATATCCACTTAACGTTAAATCCATTTATCAAAGTGTCGCTAGACTCGTCTTTATATACGCGTTTTATCGGAATTAGGGGTTATCCATCCGGTGCTGTCCTTGTATAAATAGCAAATGTCCTCGATCAGGGTTATGTGGTTATAAGTCAAACCCAAGCACCAAAACCCATGACATCAAGTGCATAAAATCAAGTTTCTGGAAAATGTCAATACTCTTCCCCTAACAACATCCCATGGAAAGGTCATATTATGTTCACTAAAATTGGATTCTACTTTCTTGTGTTTTGTTCTTTTTTCATTTTCAGATAAGCCACAATCTATATCCGCATCTAGGCCTTGTCTTGATAAAAAAAAAAAATCCAGCGTCTATTTATACAACGTTTAAAAACTAAGTAGAAATAACCTAAAAATAGATACTCATGCTACAGTTTGGTCCCATGTACCCTTCTCTGCAGACATAACATGCTCCATTGTTTACGTCACAAACTTCACAATTCTCAGACTTATTACAGGGCAGACAGTCCTCACCATAGTGGTCAACCTCACAACCTAAATAGATTTAAAAGTAAGAATACTCTTTTTTGTACATAGTACACAATTCAAATGACACCAGATATCGACCGATCAAATAGAATATTTTCTTGAAATGAAGGAATGAGAAAGGTCAGATATCTTACCATTTAATTCTATTTCACATAATTCGATCTCAATAGCAATGCTAGGTGTCTGCCATAAATTAAAGAAAAAGTCTCTTCCTGTTCGTTGAGCTTCAAATACTACTGTGTGTGGAATTTCCGTTCTGTAGTTTATATCTTCATCAAAAGGCCAATCATGAGTGCTATCAAAAAAATACATACTAGTTCCATTCGTAGTAGATGGCCCTATATCAAAGTAAAAAAAATGTTATTATATGTAGCCAAAAACTGCGTTCATACTACCGAAGGACCTTGGTAGATATATTCTTTTTTTATAGAAAAGTTCCAACAATTTTTTAAATAAAAAAAACATTATCCATGTTCTACTTTTTATCATTGTTATTATAAAAGAACTAATTTCAAATAATGAATTACACTTATAGAATTTTATATACAATCATGTACATATAACTGTACCTCTCACTCTTTCTCTTTTTATATATAATTATTTACATACATGACATAGATGTTGTAACAGATACCTTTAAAAACAAGTCTTGATGACTCAATGGTGTATGTCTTTTGAAGGCCGATTTGAAACCGAAAATAAGTCCCACTTAAACTTTCACATGTGTTGATTCCATCTCCGTCGGTCAGATTCCCTGTGTTTAAGTTAGTGGATATGTCTGTGCCGGAATAATAGCCTGTCACATTTCTTCCAAATGCTAAATTATCTAATAAAGACAAAATATATAGTAAAAAAAATTTTCAGGTGTTCAAGGACAGAATAAATGTATAATGATACACTGTATATTTATAAAATGCAGTGTACAATAGGAAATCAAGTTTGATCTCAAAATGTATTTGACCTTTCATCTACATTATACACAGGCCTGGGATAATATATCATAAGTGAGTAAGTAAAAGAGCCTAACTTCTCTAAATATCAAAATAAGAAAAAAAAACTTTTCACATGAATTTTAGGGATTTGTCCACTAGTACTTGTTGAACCCAAACTTATTAATAGACAAGAATTTCTTAAAATATTTGATTTAGAAAAAGGAGCAGAAATAATGAAATTCTTAAGCTTATTAAGGAAATTGAAATTTTATTCAACATTATTGTATCTGTTTTTTTTCTTTTCGAGGCTAATGCATCAAAATAATGATCCTCAGTTTGGAAGAATTTTCTAAAGATGTACTTGTTTTGAAACGAGGAAGTACAGGGGGTAATGTGGGCATTTGCTAAAAAAGGTAAAGGTATCAAAACAATGCGCATCAATACTTTGAACATGTTATGAAATATTCCCAGATAGTTAAATCGGCCGATTGAGTGCTTCATATAGACTCGTATGTGATTTGCCGAAGCCTATCATAAACATAGGTAATGAAAGATTAAGAAAGTCGCTTTGACGAATGATATCTATTACAAATTAGTAAGTAAGTTTGTGAATCCCAATATTCATGCAAGCTTGGTTTAATTAGGACTAACTTGAGTTACTTGAGAATTGACCTGCTTAGATATATTTAACTGTTAACTCATCAGAAAAAAAATGTTCGTGAATTAAAACATCTGATTCAACAAATTTTACAACATAAAGGTCTGAGATTAATAGTTACTGTTTGTTTTGATTACGATATTTACATGTATTGAACAAATTGCACATTTTAAAAACTTTGAATTGTCTTTCTGTCAGAACAAACAAACGTATTTTTTTGTTTTCAAAACACGATGAGTTGCTTGTCGAAGAAAACAAGAGTTAGCTCTCATTATGCCACAGGTACCATCATTTGGTGGGAAAAAAAAAAAAAAAAAACATTTCCCAATATTCTAGCAAAAATATTTTTTAAAGATTCAAATCTAGTTTTAGTGTAAAAAATATTTTCCTTTCAGACTATAATATAAATTCTACTCTGAATATATAAATTAAACAGAACTAGTGCTAATTGTAACGGGAACCGTTACAGATGTTCCCCAAACGCTCCCCAACTCCCTTTCGGTGCCATATTCCCTGTAAGCTTCATTAAATAAGACAAACTCTGTGCATTTTTGACTTTAACAACGTTTTTCCAGAAGGATACCAATTATATTCAATTTTTAGCATTGCACCCAAGCGCATGTGAATGCATGTGCGTTATGACCATATCATCTTGTCTTTCAAGAGTAGTTTTAGATATACTCGTTTCAAATGCACGCACGTGCGTGCACGTGCATGATGATCATACCTTCTTGTAGGAGTTCCTTACATCTATCTATGTTCTAAATCCCATCATGTTTGGTTGAAAAACAAGGGAGTTATAGCCATTTAAAGTTTCAGCCAATCAGATTGCAGTACACGTGTATGCGCGTAATTTCAGGATTTTTTAAAATATAATTTTGTAGGATATCCTAATGCATGACTATATTTTGAATTTCAAAGAATTTCGTCAAAAAACAAAGGAGAAATAGCAATTTAAAGTTTCAGCCAATCGAATTGCAGCACACGTGCATGCGCGTGATTTCATGATTTTTTTTCTATATCATTTTGTAGGATATCCCAATGCATGACTATATTTTAAATTTCAAAGAATTTCGTCAAAAAACAAAGGAGATATAGCCATTTAAAGTTTCAGCCAATCAGCTTGCAGTACACGCGCATGCGCATGCTTTCATGAAAATTCTTATATATCATGCGGTAGATCATTATAATGTAGGACTATGTTCAAAATTTCAAAGGATTATGACAAGAAACAAGAAAGTTATTGATACTTTAGTTTCAGCCAATCAGAGCAAAGCGCACGTGCATGCGCGTGAAATCTTGCTATTTTGACCATGCTATCTTATATATACTACTAATGTATCCTTACATTATGAGTTTCAAAAAATTTCATCAAAAAATAGAAAAGTTACGGCAATATCCATTATATTGGTAATTTCACCTAATGCACGTGCGCGCTCTTGCAAGCACGTGCGCGCAAAATGACCTTTGTTTGGCAACTCTACATAACATGCCTTCTAACCCTAAAAAGGTTTCACCTAAGTCGGATGTGTAGTTTACAAGATCACTCGTGGACAAAATTTTCCCAGGAAGAAGAAAAATAATAATAATAATAATAAGAAACAGAGTAAAAACAATATGTTCCCCAACTTCGTTTGGGGAACATAAATATTGCATTTGTATTTGAGGGCGAGACAGCCCGGGCTAAGACAGAGTTATCATACTCTTAGCCGTGAGGGCGAGACATCCCTACTTCCCACATGCGGTCTTGCAAAGTTCAAACCACCTGTATCTACCAGGTATATGATATAATAGATAAGTATAACGGTTAAATCATGAATATGCATATGTTTATCGACCTGAGCTGCATCGCTACATCATTTCAATGTCACGTCAGTTGAAGATTGTTTCGCATGTGGAACGACCGGGAAGCGTTTACTCTGTTTTCTCTATTATGACATAAAACATTGAACATTCCAAAAATCAACTAGTGCTAATTGTAACGGGGACCGTTACAGATGTTCCCCAAACGCTCCCCATCTCCCTTTTGGTACCATATTCCCTGTAAGCTTCATTAAATAAGACAAACTTTATGCATTTGAGACTTTAATGTTTACCCAGAAGGGTACCAAGTTCATTCATATTTTAGCATTGCACGCGTGCGCATGTGAATGCGTGTGCGTAATGACCATATCATCTTATCTACACAATCTATATACTTTAATATACTAAATATTAAAATATTTAATCCAAAAGTATTAAAAAATACGCTCATTCAGGTGTATTTTTGATTTTACTCATTCCACGTGCACGCACGTGCATACATGAGCATGGTGACATACCTACTTGTGGAAGTCCGTTACATCAATCTATGTTCTAAATCCCACTCAGTTTGGTTGAAAACCAAGGGAGTTATAGCTGATTAAAGTTTCAGCCAATCAGATTGCAGTGTACGTTCACGCACGTGTATGGATGTGCATGGTGACCATACCTTCTTGTAGAAGTCCATTATATCTATCTATGTTCCAAATCTGATCCTGTTTGGTTGAAAACCAAGGGAGTTATAGCTATTTAAAGTTTCAGCCAATCAGATTGCAGCGCACGTACACGCACGCGTATGAATGTGCATGGTGACGATACCTTCTTGTAGAAGTCCATTATATCTATCTATGTTCCAAATCCCATTCTGTTTGGATGAAAAACAAGGGAGTTATAGCCATTTAAAGTTTTAGCCAATCAGGTTGCAGCGCACGTGCATGCGCGTGTTTACATGACAATTGTTATATGTCATATTGTAATACATCCTGAAGTATGCATATGTTTTAAATTTCATAGCATTTTGTCAAAAAACAGAAAAGATATTGAGATTTTTGTTTCAGCCAATCAGAGTGAAGCGCACGTGCATGCGCGTGAGTTCATGCTAATTTGACAGTGTCACATTATCTACAGTATTAATATATCTTTATATAATGAGTTTCAAATCATTTCATCAAAAAATGTAAAAGTTATAGCTATATAAAGTATATCAGTCAATTCACTCATTTCACGCGCACGCACGTGCAGGCGTATGCGCGCAAAATGACCTTCGTTCCGCACACCTACACTACACACCTATTAACCCGAAAAAGGTTTTAGCTCAGTTGGGTGAACAGTTTCTGAGAACACTCGCGGACAAAAAAAGTACCGGAGAAGAAATAATAAAAAAAAAAAAAATAATAATAATAAATTTGGCTTATAAAAATACTCCCTCTTTTCGAGACATAAAGCATACAAAATATATAATTTTGGCCCCTTGCAACCACTTATTACGTCATATATGATCAAAATTTAATAATATATTGTTGCAAATCGTTGAGATAAATACTTTTGCTTCAGTAATGTATTACAAAATATTGATCATTAGAGAGTTATAGATAAAAGACTTTTGGCCCCTCTGTGCCCCTAATTTGAGGGGTCAGTCCCATTTTCTTGATATCAAATGAAAGGTCTTTTAATTTTGAAATTTTTTGTTCAACACTTATTCAGAGATTTCTATTCGATTGGAGATATGCTAAATGAAATTTATTTAGGGGCCACTCCTACAATTCCTTAATGGAGCCGTTTTATAAAAATTCAAAGTATGCATATTGTTTAAAACATTATTCTGACCATCTTTTGTTCAATATTGCTTATCAAAATATTCCACCTCTTCGAGATATAAAGCGTGAAAGATTTGACATTCTGGCCCCTGGTGACCCCTAATTACGTAACATATGATCAAAATTGTTTCATATATTGTTGCAAATTGTCAAGATAAATACTTTGCTTCAGTAATGTATAACAAAATATTGATCAGTAGAGAGTTATAGATTAAAGACTTTTGGCCCCTCTGAGCCCCTAATTTGAGGGGTCAGTCCCACTTTCTTGATATCAAATGAAAGGTCTTGTGATTTTGAAGATTTTTTGTTCCACACTTATTCAGAGATTTCTATTCGTTGTGGAGATATGATAAATGGAAATATTTAGGGGCCACCCTTACAAGTCCTTAACGGGGCCGTTTTACAAAAATTCAAAGTATGCATATTGTTTAAAACATTATTCTGACCATCTTTTGTTCAATACTGCTTATCAAAATATTCCCCCTTTTCGAGATATAAAGCGTCAAAGATTTGACATTCTGGCCCCTTTTTTTGACCCCTAATTACGTAATATATGATCAAAATTGTATTATATATTGTTGCAAATCGTTAAGATAAATACTTTTGCTTCAGTAATGTA